CTCTAATTGCCAGGGTCATGAACTGAGAAGCGCAGAACACTTAAAATTTTGTATGCACTGATGGGAATACAGAAAATATAGTGTATTGTCAACACTGAGTTTCGAACCCCGTTTTGTCGGTCATAAGATTGACAAATTAGCTCTCTGAGTTGTAATATGTACTCATCTGAAAGGAACTAAGTGATTTCTAGTTGGTGTCGCCTACCAACATAAAATTCTAAATGTTTGATCGTATTAGGTGAGAGATGTTAATAAGCAGTTTTTCAAACAATTAATAATTCGAATACTATCTTATTTATGGTTATTTGACTGTGGTGAAATGGGTTCGAATCTCAGCGTTGGCTTATCGTTTTAAAATATGCACCCGACTTACACCGACCTTAGTGATGACATTAAATATCCTTAGAGGTAGACGGATCATGGGTTAGAATCCCTTTGCCGTCAGGATAACCGTTGGAGGTTTCCGTTGTTTTCCTCTTCATGTAACGCAAATGTGGGTTAGTTCCATCAAAATATCCTTCACGAAAGCAAATTTATGGCTCAGCTGTTCACCCACGGCTATAATATTAAATAAAAAGTAACAATTAAATAAATTGCTATTGAAACATTTTTTCTAAGAGATATCTTACAATTAAAAGTAGTCATTAATTGATTTTTAAATTCGCCTACCATTCTCCTTTTCATTGTTTTAATTGCAATTAAAACAGCGAGGCCATGAGAAATATATATTTAATTCCGCATGGATGATAACAAATAGTAAAATTTGGAGGTCTTATTTTTTTGCAGCAATTTTTTAATTATTTTAAGAAAAGCAATTTTTTTTTTAAAAAAATGTTCTATATCTGATTTCGATGAAAGGGATAGAGCTTTGAAAATTTTCCATATCAACTTTTTCTTTAAGATAAATGACCTAAAATCTCAATAATAGCAGAGACGAAAAATATTAATCGTGTTAAGAAATGTGTTGAAATTCAATTTTTTTAAACTTTGAACTACTGGAAGAATTACTGTGGCAAGGACAGAAAAACAGCATACACAAAATCAACCAAGCATTCCTCCATGAATCCTCAATCTTTAATCTCTTTTCCCTCAANGCCAGACGTGGACTATACGGTTAAGGGTTTTGCAAACCTAGGTACGTGTCCACTTCTGGAAGAAAAGAAAAGAAAAAAGTCCCCTTGCTGTCCGGATAACCGTTGGAGGTTTCCGTGGTTTTCCTCCTCATGAAATGCAAATGCGGGTTAATTCCATCAAAAATCCTTCACGAAGGCTAATTTCTGGGTCAGCTTTTCAACCACGGCTATAATATAAAATAAAAAGTAACAATGAAGTAAATCGTAATTGAAACCTTTTTTCAGGGAAATTTCTAACAATTAAAAGCAGTCATTAACCGATTTTTAAATTCGTCTACCAATCTCCTTTTCATTGTTTTTAATTGTAATTCAAACTGCGAAGGCTTTGAGAAATATATATTTAATTCCGCATGGATGATAACAAATAGTGAAATTTGGAGGTCTTATTTTTTTGCAGCAATTTTTTAATTATTTTGAGAAAAGCAATTTTTAAAAAAAAATGTTCGATATCTGATTTCGATGAAAAGGATAGAGCTTTGAAAATTTTCCATACAAATTTTTTCTTTAAGATAAATGACCTAAAATCTCAATAATAGCAGAAACGAAAAATATTAATCGTGTTAAGAAATGTGTTGAAATCCTATTTTTTTAAACTTTGAACTACTGGCAGAATTATTGTGGCAAGGACAGAAAAACAGAATACACAAAATCAACCAAGCATTCCTCCATGAATCCTCAATCTTTAATCTCTTTTCCCTCAAGACTATATTCCTGATCTAATCAAGTGATATTTTGGAATGTTCCTTTTATTTTTATTAAAATTTTAAGTAATAATCTAATTTCGTTCATTGTAGCGTAAAGTAAGCTCATTTTTTAATAAAAAATAATAAGAGAAAAACGTCTTTATTTAACTTATGTCGCTTCGGAATTTTTTGAAAATAAAAATAACTAAATAATTTTTTTTCTTTTAATTTTAGTTTTCAAAAGTTAACTTTTTGTGTTTCGTTTCAAACTCGATTGAGAGATGTGATTGACTGCATTATTAGTATTTATTATTTTTTCTTAATTTCGTTTGCTCAAAAACTTGTGCTTGTTATCATTATATTTAAACCTATGGGGGCTTTCATAGCTCCAGTAAATTTCTAAGGTTCTCTTTTCTTCTAGCTTAGATCTTGAAGAAAAAGAATGTTTTGCAAAAACACTTCGTCAGCCATCGAATTTGTCGGTGGGAGGGGGGGGGACGTGAAAGGAAGAAAACAGTCGTATCTCAAATTACAATCATAATTTTTTAATTACTTTGTGCAAATGAACGGAAATGGGGTGGGATAACTTTTCTTGTCCTCTGGGTTGGTTCAAAATTGCAAGGCTACGGAGTTGCGCATTAGTAGTCGCAAACCCAAAATTGGTTCTTTTGTTCCACGGCGGTTATAAAATAAAATAAAATGAACGGCAACCAAAAATATATTTTACTACATGTTAAAGTACTTGAACGTTCATAAAAAAATAAATACGTATTTATATTTTTTGAGTTTATACATGCATTAAGAAAATTTTTTTGTTTTGTTTTTTACCCGTTCTTCAGTTTAAAATCCTAACACTTCTTAAATTCTTATTTTATACACAAAAAGTAGCATCAAAGTGATAGGTGGCTCGTTTTTCTCAGTGATCTCATAGTACAGGGTCTTTATAATTAAAGTTCCACTTTGAAATGGCTATAAAAATAAAACTACCCGACCAAATGTCATCAAACTTGATAAATGTCTATAAGAAGTCATGGGATTTTAGTTCCCGCAACAAAAAAAAAAAGAAGAAAAAAAATAGTTCAAAAATTCACCAGCAGCGGAGAATGGCGCTGTATGCAATAGTGTTAAACNTTTTTGAGTTTATACGTGCATTAAGAAAATTTTTTTGTTTTGTTTTTTACCCGTTCTTCAGTGTAAAATCCTAACACTTCTTAAATTCTTATTTCATACACAAAAAATAGCATCAAAGTGATAGGTGGCTCGTTTTTCTCAGTGATCTCATAGTATTAAGTAATAGAAGATAATATATTTATTTCAATCGTGTTATAGCTGGTCTTATAATAGAAGTTTAACTATTATAGAATAAATTATAGGAATCAAAATGCATGTAATGTTGATAATATTAGGCAACATTTTTAGGAAATATAAATCAAACATAATAATTAGTTATACTGTAATGCTTTTATATTGTATGTATTATTCGTCCCCAATAGCTCACTTTTCAGCTTTAGTGCTACGTAAAGTATATTATTTCAAAATTGTAAATTTGCTATAATTATACCGAATTTATAAATTCTGTTTTCGTTCACACAAATAAACTCGATGAGAAATGATCAAATGGACGAAAGTGAGCATTGTGGCTCAGGGAATAGAACATTTTAGTCCCAATGACGTCACCCAGGTTTGAATCACAAAGGTTGCTGGTTGTTACGAATTCTGCTCCCGGTTCATACCAACTGCAGAGCTGACGTAAAATCTTCTCAGTGGTAGACAGATCATAAGTTAGAGTCCCATTAACCTAGGGCTAATCGTAGAAGGTTTTCGATATTTTCCTCTTCCTGTAATGCAAATTTGGGTTAATTCCACCAAAAAGCTCTTCAAGAAGGCTGGCATGTCTCACTGTTAGATCCAGAAGTTCCCTCGTCTCCGATTTTGAGTTCAAAATTACAAGGCTCTGGAGTTAAATATTGATAGTGATAAACTCAGAACTGGGTATCGGTTTTTCAACGCCAGTTATTGAAAATAAAATATCTATATTTTGTATTCTTTTGCAAGGGAATTCCATTTTTTTAAGTATAACATTGTATTGCAATATTGCTAACAATATTCTAAACATTTTAAAATTCCTTATATTTATCAATATATATTTCATAACTTTTTGAAAATTAAGCCTATTTCCATACCTACATTAATTGATTTCATCATTGTAAATTTGTAGTAACTATGGCTAACATTAAATAAATTTGTATATTTTTCAATATATGCTTAGTATTTTCCTGCGAGCAAGTTCGTGTATGCATAATGTATATAACATTTTATTTCAGCATCATTATTTTGCTACCCTCATTCAAAACATTCACAATTTATTACATTTTTTAACATACAGTCGAACCTCACTAACTCGAACCTCGATATCACGAATTTTTCGATATCTCGAAGAAAAAAAAATTCCCTTCAAATTTCCTATACACTCAATGTTACAAAAAACCTTGATTTCTCGAATTTTTTTGTCTTATCTCTCGATAACTTGAATTTTTTTCCCCATAAATAGTGCAGATTTTTTTTCTGAAAATAAAAAAAAAAATATTCCAAAAAAAATATTTTAAGAATAGAAAGCCAATTTTCATAATCATAATCAATTCTCAAACAAACACTTTCTGCAGTGGACACTGTAAGGAGATTAACTGAGAGGCAGCTGAATATGTCAGAGGAGAAATTTAAAGCTATAGTCCACTTAGAAAGTGTTATAGACAAACTTTCTTACACATTTCTAAAGCAAACAACAATTGAATCTTTTTAAGTATAAAAAGTGTTTTTAGAATAAATATGGAATATTAAATAAGGTATTTAAAGATCATTTTTCTTTATTCTACCATCGATAACATGCGATTTTCGATAGTTCGAATTTTCGGTATCTCGAATTTTTTCTCCTCTCCTTTCAAGTTCGAGATATCGAGGTTTGACTGTATATTTAATAATGTTTTGTAAGTAAATTCGATTTCTTTACTTATTACGTATGTATTTAATATTTTTCTGTAAGTAAATTCGATTTTCCAGTGAATCTTAATCTACTGCAAGATTACAATTTTCCCGTTATTATTAATAAAAATTAATTATCCGTTTTCATGCGTATTTCATGTTATAATTTACTTAAGCTAAATTATTTTTTCTTTTTTCATTCTAGGTTGCAATAAGACGAAATGGCTAATTCAATGAAAGAATTTTTAGAAAATACGAATTTCAGCATTGAAAGCTATTATACATTATTTGTCGATGTGCATTTTATACAGAAGGATGCTAAAAAAATTATTATCCAACTTATGAGAAAAAGTCACGAGTTTTTCTGGATGAATAAAATAGATCGCAACAATATTTTAGAACTTGAAAGAAAAATAGGGAATTTTTATCGGGAAAAAAGATACGAGCAGGGAAAATGAGGAACCCTCCACCCATGCGTTATTATCAGTTCAGTGCGTAAAGAATTTCCAGTGAATTCACCTGCTTAAACACGTTGTGCTTTTTAAAAATTACTTGGTAAGTCTTAATTTGAGTAATGATATTTGTGCTCTTTTGTGAAAATTACTTATTGAATTAATTTAAAAAACTATGTGCTTGTAACATAATTAACAAAAAGTTTCTGCATTAAAAATATTTGAGTTATGTAATTGCTGAAACAAATTCCTCTTATATTGAAAATAAAATCTTTATCTCAATAACTCTATGACGTGCGAAATTTGGCTGTAGATTTATTTGAATTCAAGATTAAATATATTGCTAAACCTAATAATAGGTTTATGTCATGACTTTTACTTATTTCTGAAATCTTTTTTTTCTTGAAAACTAATGATTGATTCAAAAGCTCAAAAATTTAGATAACACTCACAAATTTCGTTTATTAATGATATCTGAGGTATGTAAATACAAAAATAAATTTCATTAATTTCGAAAATAAAAATATGAATAAAATTATGAAATAAAAATATAATTTCGTCCAGAGTTACAAAGTTCGTCCATTAAGTGATTAGAATTCATAATTATATAGAAATATCGTAGTTAGGATATAGAAATACTGCAAAAGTGGCATACATAAAATGATATTCCTCACCTCTAAACTAAACAAAATTTACATTATTTGCATTATTTTTCTTTTTTGCACATTTTTTAAGTAATTACGACGATTTTTATTCACGATTTTTGCTTCTTTATTTTTAAGAGATTTTTTCTAAAAGAGGTTAATTTTTTTTTCAAATTCAGGAGTCTAAGTTTCTTTATCTTGAAAATAAATGTGATTTAGTATCATTTCTTTTCAAGTATAAGATTAAGCAAAGTATTTTCGCTGATAATTGTAAGAATATAGGAAATTTTCGTTATAGAAGAAGTTTTAATTTTGTTGATAGAAAGAGGAAGTTATTTATAGTCTTGCTATTTATATGTTATTATTATTTATAAGTTATTACTATTTATTTTCTTCCATATAAAAAGGATTTTTGTTGAATTACAAAATAAAATTTCTCACTTATAAATACTTTATAATAAAACTAAAAATGTAAACATATTATAAATTATCAAAATCGAAAACTTTTTATTCATTTATATTCTGTAAATAATATTCAAATTTTCATACAAAACAAATCTGTTATATAGTCTAGGATTTATTTTAGGCTATCAGATTATTTTTGCGTGTTCCTCAATATAAATATAATGAATGGTGAATATTTAAAATAATGTTGGTTAGAACTTATCAAATTTCAAATGCAATACAGAGATTATATCATTTGTTATTAGTTGTTTAAGTCATTAAAATTTATTCGAATATTTATAGGTTGGTAAGGAAATATTCCTGGTTGTCAAATTTTCAGTAATTAACTTAAGTAAATCCTGTTTTGTATTTGCGCTGACCCATATTTCATTATTGTAATAAATTTAGAGTACAACTTAATCAACCTAATTTATTTCTTTGCTATTCTTTTGTACTGTAAAACATAAAAAGGAAGAATTTGAGAATGATAATAATAAAATAAAAGTTGTTGGAACATAAGTATCTTACACAAGAAAAATTTTTATCATTAAAAAGTTAGAAAAACTAATCATATTTTAAAGTTTGGGAAAAAGTATAGTAAATTTTAAAAAGTGTTATTAAGTTTAAGCATAAAAGGGGTGTTTAAAATATCAAGATTAATTTTCCATCGTGAATTGATAAAGTTATTTTGAAATTTCCCAAAAAAATTATTAAACTCGTTAAAATTCCCTAAATTATATCGAAATTTCTTCCTCTTTAAAAGAAAAAAAAAAAAAAAAAAGTCATCTTGATTTTGGAAAGAAAAAAAAATATTTGCTTGCACTTTTCTCTTTAAAAGTAACGTTACCCTAAATTAAGTAGCACCTTTTGATACTGGCAAACAAGATCTTTTTAGTTACTTTTGATCAGTTAAAAATAAAACCAAGCTATACTTTCTACATTAGGTTATATTTAACAGCATAATGAAGTGTTTTGTGTTCAGAATTTATCCTACTATGAAAACAGTGTGTAGTTTGAATGCAGAATCAATTCTTACATAATTGTTTTAATATTAACTAAATGTTGGCGTATAACATAAATTCAAATATTTTGTATAAAAAAACTGTGCTAAAATTTGCAAATAAATTTAAAGTTCGCAAATATGTTAATTTCTATTATTAACTTTACTTATTTAGAGTTAGTTCATATAGCTATTCATTGTATTGTTATATTGTCTATTGTATTGTTACATTGTATAGCTATTAATAGTATTGTTCATTGTATTGTTCATATAGCTATTCGTTGTATTGTTCATTGTATTGTTCATATAGCTATTCATTGTTAATTGTTAGTTGATATAGTTATGGATTGAATTGATAGTTTCACATTGAAAGGGTGCCAAAAGAAAAGCACCAATATTAACCAAAGCCTTCAAAGCATTTAGAAAGTATGTCCCTCTCAGAAAGAATGTTCAAACTACTGTTGCTTAAATTGTGAAATAAAAAATACAACTAAAAAAAATTACAAATCATATATCTTTTGAAAATATAAAATGTACAAAACAAAAAAATTAACAACAGAATAACTTTTGACCTAATAATTAATTCTTTACTTACAGAGATGTTATTTAAAGGTTCGAAAGATTGCCCTTAATAATACAGAGAGAGAAAAAATATGGTTAAATTACCGCACTGAATGGTAATTACATTTCTGGAAAAGAAAACTACAATTCTGGTTTAAAAAAAAAAACTGAAATATATGGTATTAAAATCATTCATTTTGTAATTTTTCCGTTTATGTTTTAAGGGTTTACCGGAAATTCTGGTTTTCAAAATTACAGTTCTTATTTTCCTCACGATTTGTAGAAAATACAAAACTAGAAGGTAAATTGAACCAAATAAATGGTTTTTATGACATTCTATGGTAATAGGTTAAAAATACCGAATTTTGCCTCATTTACCAAATTTTGTGACAGTTTAAATTCTTATCATGTTCTGAAAGTTTTGAAATTTTTAAAAAAAATTTGAAAATCACAAAGACAGACCTTTTCCAAAATGCTTAGAATAACCCCTAAAATTAATAACGTTTTGGTACTGAAAAATTTGTGATTGTATGGAAAAGAAACCATCAGACAATGCCAACCTTCATCGATTAAGAGGTACCTCAAGGTTGAATCAAGTTAAGCATGTCTTATATACTAGTGAATTGATGTTTAATAATCGCAGTGGTAGTTACGCCAGAATACTCCCCTCCAGAATTTTATGAGGGATAGAATTCGATGAACGGATACCTCTAGTTGCTGTATTTGTGAAGGACCGGGAGAGCTGGATTAAGGTCACCGGGTATTGAACTTGAGAGCTGTATTAAGATCATGGTTGTGTGTGTGGTCACTCCTGTGTTGCTATTAGCAGTCGATAGTGCAGGATCCCGTTGTGTATTAATGAGACTGAGTAGCAACGGCGTTAGGAGGACGATGACGCAGACACAATTAACAAGTCAGCTGTTCAATGCGGACCATCTAAGTAATCGTGATCATATCACATCGGCATGTCACCAATGTGGGGAAAAGAAACCATCAGACAATGCCAACCTTCATTTATCAAAAGGTACCTCGAGATTGAGTCAAGTTAGCATGTGTTATATGCTAGTGAATTGGTATTCAATAATCGTAGTGGTAGTTACGAAACAATTATAAACGATACTATATCTATTTCAATTATTCAAAATACTTCCATGCGAGAATAACGTATAGCGTTGAGAACAGATATAAGTCTGTAACAGGTCTAAAATATCTGTTGCGCAAAATATTACCAGTTCCAATCACACAGATCCTATATTAACTAATATGCTCTTCATTTTAAGTTGTTTTGAGTAAACAATACGTTTTGATGAACTGACTAACTGAATTCAATTTATTTCAATAAAGATTCAACTTCTATATCTATTCAACTTCTATATCTCTATATTAGTAGCAACGTTATTTTTTATCCGTTGCGCTATATTTCGTAAGACCGTTAGGCTTAAAAACAGAAAAATCGTCAAATTGCTGCTGGGCTGTTTTAATGTAGGAATGTATGCATGTTAGCTTTGTTCCTCGGAGTAAACTTAAGGCAATAGAGGTAAACTAAATTAACGTTTTTATCTTAATAATCCTATGTTGTCATCGAACATCCAAACTTTAGTATTTAAACTAATATAGATTTGTTATAACATATGATAACTGTTCATATGATAACGCAATGGCATATGATAACGCAAATAAATAATAAATGAATATTTAAGAATTTTAAGTAACTGTCAAAACATTCATGTTAATAATTATAAGTAATTGTAAAATTAATAATTTATACACTGAGAAAAGAAGTATGGTCAAAGTTATAAGAATAAAGCAAAATTTATCGTATTTCTGGCTCTATGCGAACAACAAAAAGCACGGTAAATATTACCGAAACGCTTTGCTTATGATTTGATAAAAATAAGAATTAAATATTGTTTTCTAAAATTTGGTTAAGGTTGTAAAATTTTATTGTTTTATCAGGGTACATTTGAGCATGGCATAGAAACTATTTATTCGGTTAAATTTAGTTTTCAGCTTTGTGCTTTTTAAATAAATGTGTAATAATAAGAACTATAATTTTGAAAACCAGAATCTCTAGAAAAACCGTTACCATATGAACTGAAAAATTACCAAATGAATGGCTTAAATACCATAAATGTTGATTTTATTACTAGAATTATGTTTGTTTGTTTTTTTAGTTATGTTTGTTTGTTGTTTAGTTAGTTTAGAGTGATTATGTGAATGAAAACCGGACAAATATATCATTTATTGACTGCAAGACACCACAAATCTTTTACTTAAAATATCAGTTGAGCAATCCATATATATATATATAT